AAACATGTCCTCTCAAGGGCTTTTAAGAGTTCAGATTTCACTAAAAAGCAGCGGGATTATTGCGAGAAAAAAACGGTAAATAGAGTAAATTTTTCAAGCGAATCAACCAGGATAAAAGCTGTCACAAACTTAGAAACTCATGCAATCACATTTCACTGTTTCTCAGCGTTCATGGTCCTGTTTAAGAGTTTGAATTTGAACTAAAAACTCACCTGTTGTAGTTTGAACCAAGTCTGCTCTTTCTGGTCAGATTGTGTTAAACTAAAAATCAAATTAAAGGTCCTATATTAAGCAAAATTCACTCTTGTGAGCTTTAAGCCATGTTATAATGCTGTTATGTCTTCAAAAACATACCTGAAGTTGAGTTTTATTTCATTCACACATGTTTGAGTAGCCCCTTATCCTTAATCCCTCTCTAAAACTCAAAATGCTCTGTTCCACCTTGTGATGTCATGAAGCAATAGTTTTCACCAACCTTTTACCTTTTGGTCAGTAGAGGTTGACAGTTCCAGGTCTGAAATCATCTAGATGATTCTAGTGAAGGTGTGTGGAGTTTAAAAACACAGTGGAGCACTTCCTGTATCACCACAACAGGGTTTTTTTTTAAGTTTGAGAGAAGAACTTACACTGAAACGAATCACCATATCGGAAACAATTTGCGTCCAGACACGTCGTTTCTGTGTCCACAATCAAAGCCTTCCCAATCCACACAGTAACGCAAAACCGCCTGAAACGCTAATCACATGACTAGGCTGGCGTCACGTCATCAGAACGTCACGGGCGGTAAAAACAAAGCAGAGTACCGTGTCTGAAGTTGCAGCAGCCGATTTTGAGCCAAGGAAGATGGCAAGCGTGAAAACAGTCTTTTCATGGACTGATGACGAGGTTCAGTTGTTAATGAACGTAACACTGGATTATAAGATGAGACGATTTAAGACGAGCATGACTAAACTGTTTCCCGTTTGTCTGTGGTTTGTTTAAACTGTTTTCCGCAACAGCGTCACATGACCGATGTCACAAACCCAGCGAATCAGGAAGGCGCAAATCACAGTGACATGGTACAAAAAGGACGGCAACTAGAGCTCCTACGTCAGCGTATCAGCGTTTTCAGGGGTACACACGGTGCCAGATCAGATCCATTCTCAGATGAATTCGTGGGAGCTGGCGGCACCAGATCGTTCCGTCTCTGGAGCCGTTTTCCATCGGATTAGTGTGGACGAACACTGCATCCACAACGAAAACGACTCAAATACGTCCTAGTGTGGATGGGGTTTGTGTTTTCAACAGGTGTGAATGAAACCAAACACAACTCCAGGTCTGTTTGTGATGAGGAAACGACATTATAACATAGATCAGGAAATATCGTAACACGGGCGTTTTAAAGTACCCGGAGGTTGTAGCGTGCTGCCTGAGACTTGTGTAGTACAATACTTACAGCTAGTCTTTCTGTTCCCCTGTGGTTGGAAGTGATGCCTCTAGTTTTAACACAGAGCCAGAGCCGATATCATCTCACCCTGCTGCTCTTAAGGCCGCAGAGAGAGAGAGACAGACTCCGGCTCCAGGACAAAGGGGCTAAAGAAAAGTACCAGGACCTCAGACACACCGGGAATCACCTGTCCAAAGGGAATACTGGGATAACATTACACTTTCTCCGAGCTACAGGGAGAAGGTCAACCCCCAGTGGAGAGAGGGGCCTCCGCTAAGGGGGATTCTACACAATACATGACTATCCCCGTACACATGTATTGACAGCGATGGGATCAGAGTACTGCCTTCTGAATACATAGAATACATTTACATTGAGTTAAAAAAAAAACATGATATAATTACTAATAGCTTTATTTTTGTTGTTTGTGCATTTGTTTATGACCAATTAGAGACTAAAAATCACACGTGCAAGAGCTGTTTTCTAGTTTTCTCAATAATACTGTGCAGTTTAAAGTACAGTCATTTATAAAAGTAACTGTAATCTGGATACAGCCAAATGAAAAAGTAACTCAAAGGGACTCAAAAACTGTATCCGGAATATGTATTTTCGGTGCATGTATTCAGTTATTTCCCAACAATGTGTATTGCTCAATCACGGTTTTCAGTTTAATATTTTGTTGTATTAAAATAGTGCTTTGAATATTATTTTCCTGAACATAAACAACACAGGCTTTGAGTTAATGAAGTTTAACACACAAAAAGTCGAATTTCTTTCTCAAAAGTCTGAACTCTGCTCCAATAAAACACATGCTTTTACTCGTGCACTCTGATCTGAATCCTTTTTCTATTAATTACACAGACCTATTTAAGTTCTTTTGTTGGGAACACTGCTACTGCTACTACTACTGCTACTGCTACTACTACTCCTGCTCCTGCTACTACTGCAACTACTCCAATTCCAACAACTACAACTACAACAACAACTACTACAACCACTACTACAACTCCAACTGCAACAACTGCAACAACAATTCCAACAACTCCAACTACAACTACAACAACAACTACTACAACCACTACTACAACTCCAACTGCAACAACTACTCCAACTACTACAACTACAACTACAACTACAACAACAACTACTACAACCACTACTACAACTCCAACTGCAACAACTACTCCAACTACTACAACTACAACTACAACTACAACAACAACTACTACAACCACTACTACAACTCCAACTGCAACAACTACTCCAACTACTACAACTGCAACTACAACTACTACAACTACTACTACTACTACTCCTACTCCAACTACAATTCCAACTACAAAAACTAGGCAAGGCAAGTTTATTTGTATAGCACAATTCATACACAAAGTAATTCAAAGTGCTTTACAGAATAAGAAATACATTAAAATCATAATAAAAACAAATCAAAACATAAATAATCATAAAGGTTAAAATTAAAAAAGAGAGACATAAATTGGAGAGAAGAGTGCGGAATGAAAACCTTTCAGTTCGCAACTACTACAACTACTACAACTACAACTACAACTACAACAACTACTACAACTACAACTACAACTACAACTACAGCTACAACTATTACCACTACCACTACTACTGCTTCTGATGCTGCTACTATTACTGTCACAATCATAAGTACTTTACTGTAGTATACTGTTATAAATGTATAATGTTTGCTTTTACTTGAATAAATAGTTATAATGTTAAATCTAATGTAACAAGGGAATTATTATAAGGTTTTACTGAAAATAGATTCCACTTTGTACAACATACGCAATTAAGAAACATATTGTGTTTTAAATAAATATTTTATTGTACTAATGAGCTCCTGTCTCTAGAGAATTACACAAGTTTTCCTCATTCCAAGTAAGTAGAAAACAAAAGAAAAGTTGAGGTGAGGCTTCGAAATGATACTGAACAAACTGAATAACAAATACTGCTACTTCAAATTCATCTACACCAATAAACTGCCAAAATAAACTGAAAATAAAAGAGTTAAAAGCAAAAACGGGTCTGATGGCTGCAGCAGGAGCAGTTAGAGTGATAAAACCCTCATGTCCTACATTCATAATCACTCAAAATGGACTCTACTCCGGACCATTACTTTGCCTTTAATCCCGCCTGATGATGACTTTCCATTAGAAGCAACGCGCTGGATTTCACAACAACTTTTATACTTCGAATCAAGTGGAAAATAACACACATACTGCAGTAATGAGTATAACATGATAGCAGTACAGTTGTAGTGTTAAAAGTAGACGCAGTAATCACAAAAGCTGATATATAAGACGATTTTATACTAATATTTCTGACTGTTTGTTTAATTATTGATTTTTATGTTACTTCTAAATTGAAAACGCTTGAATGAGTAAAGGATTTTTGGTCCTGTTTGCTTGGCTTTTTCAGCAGTGGTGGGAGCAGAATCGCAGTACACACCTTTGGAGCTTTTGAGTCGATATGATATTCGATATTTGTTGTTGTTATTTAGGCTGAGTTCTTCTCTTAAACACAAAACACACCAAATTTTGATGTCACGTAGTACAAAACACAACTCCAGGTCTGTTTTTGAGGAGGTAACAGCATTTTATCATGACTTTAAGTTAATTAAGTTTAGGGCTGGGTATCATTGAGAAGTTGCCGATACGATATATAGGCCAGGATACGATACATATCTCAATACAGTGCACTTTCCTTTCAGTAGGATATATTTCAAATCGATTCCATACAGTTCAATAAAAAATAATAACTAAATGATGGATGTGATTCTAAAAGTCTTTGTTTAACCACTTCTTGTGCAAAGTGATTATGAAACACAAACATTTTAATCATCAAAACAATGAAAATGTCAAATTTGTCGCATAAACAAGTTTCCTTCCCCTAAATAAACAACAAAACTGTAGCGCTGTAACAAAGTAATTTAGTAAAATATACAAAAAAATACTCTTGTTGATACATATATATCAACAGAGCAGTCCCCCGATATCTAGGGCTGGGTATCATTAAGACGTTGTCGATACGATACATATCTCGATACAGTGCACTTTTGATTCAGTGCGATATATTTCAAATCCATTCGTTACAGTTCAATAAAAATAAAGGCTAAATCATGGCTGTGATACTAAAAGTCTTTGTTAAACCGCTTCTTGTGCAAAGTTAAAATGAAACACAAACATTTTAAATCATCCAAACAATGAAAATGTCAAATTTGTTGCAGCAACAAGTTTCCTTTCCCTAAACAAGCAACTAAACTGTAGCACTGTAACAAAATCATATACTAAAATATACCAAAAAATACTGTTGCCAATATATCGATACAGCAGTCCCCGATATCAATACTGTATCATCATATTAAGCGATACGATATATTGATATTTAGATATTTTTGAACACTCTTAATTAAGTTATGCAAACGTATAGTATTGAGAAAAAAAACCATTAAAATATCTGTGCCAAATATTGTGTACATTTTTAATATGGAAGCAATATGTGTAGAAATCCTCCTAACTAAATGTAATGTTCTTCTAAAAGTACTTACGGAACATGGTGTTGAACTGTTGTGGGTTGAGGTTCCACTTGCCCCACGGCGTCTTGTGGCCTTTAGACTGGGCGTAGTGGGCGTGGTTAAACTCTGGCTCCGTCCCGAAGGAGTCCAGCACCCTCAGCATGCACCTACACAAACGCAGAGACACAATAGTTTTATATATACGCAAGGATAACACCGGCTTTCGCACTTTACAACTTACACCCACTTAAAAATCAATAAAACTTTAACAGTGGCCATAAATCAGGTCTAAACAACACAGATCCGCAGATGCAAGACAAACAAAAGGCACCTATGCACAGAAACCAAACACGAAAACGAGTATCGAAACTTTGAGCAGGTGTCGATACTGAAAAAGTGCCTGTTTTTCAAGATATTTTTGAGCAATAAAACCTTTCACATTCACCGAATCTCTCCCAGCGGTCGTTTTTTGTGTTTTCCTATTTTTGCCACTTAAATTATTTTTCAGTTTTTTTTTTTCTTTGTTATTATGTTGTAATTTGTGAGCTACAAGTAATTTCCTTTGTGGATCATTAAGGTTTGTCTAAGCCTAAATCTTGAGACATTAGAAAGGCTTTTATACGATGCTATTATGTCACTAATTACATACACAAATTACACAAATTGCAAATGAAACAATGTCTGCGTAATTACACGACTTAGAAACATGTAAACTTTTAATTTCTTCCCGGTTTCGAGGTTTCTCCTGAAGCCTTTCCACATTCTGGTAAATGTTTGCATGTTAATTCTGTGTCGTGAGACCTACTGGACAGACTCAAAGTAGTAAAATCACACTCAGAGTTGTTCTGTACATTGTCCTCTCTGGTTGGAAGGGCATCTGTTTAAAAAAAAAAAGTGAGCATGTGACAGATTTACTGTAGCGACCACTGATATAGAGCAAAAAGCAAAAGGGGAAACTCATAAAATCACTTTTAATTTGGCATAGTTAACTCCCTGCAACTCAAAACATCCTGTATTTGATCAACTCTCCTCTTCTTCTATCTCCTCTGCTTTTCCTCTCTTCATCTCCCTCCCTCTGTCTACATCCTCCTCCACCTTCATCTTCTCCTTCTTCTCCGTCTCCTCCTTCGATTTCTCCTCCTTCTTGTCCTCCTCCTTCCCCTTCTTCTCCTTCTTCTTCACCTCCTCCTCCTTCTTCGCTTTCTCCTTTTTCTTGTCCTCCTCCTTCTTCACCTCCTCTTCCTTCTTCGCTTTCTCCTTTTTCTTGTCCTCCTCCTTCTCCTTCTTCACCTCCTCTTCCTTCTTCGCTTTCTCCTTCTTGTCCTCCTCCTTCTCCTTCTTCACCTCCTCCTCCTTCTTCGCTTTCTCCTTCTTGTCCTCCTCCTTCTCCTTCTTCACCTCCTCCTCCTTCTTCGCTTTCTCCTTCTTGTCCTCCTCCTTCTCCTTCTTCACCTCCTCCTCCTTCTTCGCTTTCTCCTTCTTGTCCTCCTCCTTTTCCTTCTTGTCCTCCTCCTTCTCCTTCTTCACCTCCTCCTCCTTCTTCCCTTTCTCCTTCTTGTCCTCCTCCTTCTTCGCTTTCTCCTTCTTGTCCTCCTAATTCCTCTTCTCCTTCTTCACCTCCTCCTCCTTCTTCGCTTTCTCCTTCTTGTCCTCCTCCTTCTCCTTCTTCACCTCCTCCTCCTTCTTCGCTTTCTCCTTCTTGTCCTCCTCCTTCCCCTTCTTTTCCTTCTTCACCTCCTTCATCTTCTTCTCCTTCTCCTCCTCCTCCTTCTCATCCTCCTTCTTCTCATTCTCCTCCTTTCCTTCTCATCTTCCTTCTTCTCATTCTCCTCCTTTCCTTCTACTCCTCCTCCTTCTTGTCCTCCTTCTCCACCACCTCCTCCTTCTCTTTCTCCTCCTCCTTCTTCTTTACCTCCTCCTCCTTCTTCACCTCCTTCTCCTCCTCCTCTTTCTTCTCCTCCTCCTCTCCCTTCTCTTTCTCCTCCTCCTTCTTCGCCTTCTCCTCCTCCTCCTTCTCTCTCCTGACCTTTCTCTTCTCTCCTCTTTCCCTCTTTCCTCCCCCCTTCTCTTGTCTCTTTCCCTTGCCTCTCTTCTTTCTCTCTATCCCCACCTCTCCTCTCCGTTCTCCCCTCTCTCCCTCTTTCCTCTTCTCTCTCTTTCTCTCCTACCTCTCCTCTCCTCTTCCTCTACGTCCTCTGTGTCTCTCGAGTTTTCACAGGAGAAAAGGTCATTATCGCCACTGACACTCGAGTCCCAAAGGTTGTGAAGTCATCTGCATAAACTATAAATAACAGCTTTCACTGCTTAGAATAAATAAACCTGAAATAAGTCCAGACCAGAATCTGATCCAATTGGACCCCAGATCCAAAAAGATGTCTCCACAAATTCCGAACAGACGTCCTAACCAGGTCGTGTCCAGATCTAAACCAGGACCAGGAAAATCGCAGTGGTCTCATATTCCAGACCTGTGATGATCTGACAACGGTGGAAAGGAAAATAGATTAAAAAAAAGCACTTTAGGACTTTCACGTAATGTTTCAGCTGAATCTTAACCAATTTCCAAGGAGCAAAACACTTAAATTTCAAAAGCAATTACCCTTGAAATCCTTTAAAACTAAGTGTGCGTGGTTATATCAAAATACTCCCAGAGGCTCCATTAGTTAACCGTTATGAAAAGTTTAAAGGTGCACAGAAAGGTTTAACGCTGTACTGTGAAACTTTCCAGACAAAACAATAATAGAATAATAGAAAAACATTTGACGGACGTCGGACGCTCCACCCGAAAAGTTACACAGCGCACATTTCAGATTTTTTCCAGTCATATTATCCGTCTGAAAGGGCGGCTACGAGCTACAGCCTTGAGACAAAACAGATGGGACGGCAGCAGACGCTCCAATTAATAAGATGGTTTATGCAAAATGGGAGAGAATTACATTTTAAATCAATTGTCAGAGAGATATGAAGCGCAGACAGCTGAGAACGAGCACATAGTGTTGTCACGATACGACAATTTAAAACTTGATTTCAATATTAAAGGTTGTATAGAGGATTTTTTTTTTTTAGTTTCAAATTGTCAATGAAAGTTTAAAATACTATTATGGAGATGCAGCCTTGTAATTATGATGACCAAAAAAAAAAAAAAGAATGAAAATCTATCAACTGTGGACATAGTGAGGCCAGATAAACATCAGCCAATAGATAACAAGGCTGCCTCATTTTCTATTGGCTCTTAAAGTTCGCAATCAAACTCCCTACGTTTCTAGTGTAACTGACTTGCCGGCGTGCGGGGATGACGTGGTTTATGCAGCGGTTTTTAGAGATTTTTTTAAACTTCCTCGCAGTTTGCACAAAGTTTGTTGAGATGGCGGACGAGAATCCACGACCAGTTCACCGCAAAAGAAAGTGTTTTTTGAGGTCGCTGAAAGAAGAAGAGAAGGGGAAAAGGAGCAAAGCCAAACTGAGGTGATTCTTGGAGAAGAGCTCGTCCAGCGATTGTGCAAATGACGCAGACAAAGGATCTAAAAACTGACGTGTCGGTCGCTAAATTATTTCTAGACAGGTCACTTCAACAGTAATTTTGAACATGCACTGGCTGTAAACAAGCATGATTTCTAGAGTAAGGAGGCGGGAGGAGATGTTTCTACTTAGGGACCTGTGGAAGAGGAAGGTGGTGTCACACATGCACAACAAGAGGAAAAAGGACTGTCGCTGTATTTCTTTTCCCTTAAAAATCCTCTATACAACCTTTAAGGAATAAACTCAATGTTCAATACCGATTCTGATACCACAAAGATATCTGTAGAGGAAAAATAACCCCCCAAAGCTGCAAACTGCAAAAACAAATACGCCAAAATCCACAAGGTCTTTTTTAATGAAGTGCAAAGAGGTAGGCAGTTCATGTAGGAACAAAGTGCTTCTACGGCATTTAAAAAAAAATCCCTGTATTCAAAAATAATAATTTAACTGTAAAATAAATAAAATAAAATAAATAATCCATCTTTTCAACTCAAGTCAAGCCCATCTTTGCATTAACCGCATGATAACCAGAACCATGAGATCCTTTAACAGAGGAAAGCGCTGTGAGGTATCCCACAATCCACTGCACGGATCAAACCCAACGTTTCCAAACACTATTGTACAAATTACACTGCAGCAGATTATTCATTAAAATCTAAACTTTACACTTTAACATTACTAAACTTTAACAACATATAAACCATAACGACTCTAGAAGCACATCAGCCCATTTCAGATTATAATGTGTTTAATGCAGCTTTGCCACATTTGTTTACGTTTTACAGGAACTAAAAACCACAAGGCTCATTTGCATAAACTGTAAGCACTGTTGGACTAAAGGACACGACTCGGTGGAATATGAGTGTTCTCTCTGTTACAAAGCATGTGCTGCTGATGGCCTTGACTGTACATGGTGGAAAAGGTTCATTTGCTGGCACCAACTTTCAGCATTCATGGCAGTAGATACCGGTCTCATACATACGACATGTCAGAATCCATATCAAGTTAAAAAATATCTTGATTTTAAATATCAAGATATCGCCCATCCCCAGCTCATATTACGCTGTTTTCTGATCTATGTTATAATAAAGTTTCCTCATCACAAACAGACCTGGAGTTGTGTTTTGTTTTATTCACACTTGTTTAATTAACGCACAAACCCTGCATATTTAGGTTATTCTCTCAAACTTGTGATGTCATGGGTAATACTAAAAGTGCTCCACTGTGTTACTAAACTCCACACACCTTCACTAGAATCATTTGGTTAATTTCAGCCCCGGAATTTCCAATCTCTACTGAACTAAAAGGTAAAAGGTAACTTGATAACTACTTCATGACATCATAAGGTGGAACAGAGCATTTTGAGCTTTGGAAATGCAGACAGACTGATAATGCAGGATGACTCAAACACACGTGAACGAAAACAAAACACAACTCCAGGTCTGTTTATGAAGAGGAAACAACATTATAACACGGTTTAAAGCTCACGCGAGACCTTTAATTTCATGTTGTAACAAGTATCTAGTCTCGATATTAGTTTAAGTATCTATAAGAGCCTGACTTTCGATACTTCTGACAACACTATAACCTCCGCACTTGATTCACTTTAACCACTTTGCGATTATTAGCTGTAAAACTGCGCTAGCGTAAT